ACGCAGCTGGCAGCGCACTCGGCTGCGCCCGCAGACCTGCGCCGCCTCGCGCCCACCGCAGCGGGCACCGGCCTCCCTTGTGCCGACGCACACGCGCTCCTCCTCGCCCCGTGGCCCGGCCACTCTGCGTGGCGCCGGCAGTCCTGACGCAGCTCCTCGTGCGCAGTGGCTGTCTTCATGTACCTGCTGCGCGCCTCCCGTCTTCCTCGGGACAGCTGATTCAGCCCTGCCGGGTTTCTAGCATACGGTCTGACTTCTGCTGCTGCGTCACAGGAGTTCTGTGCTCTGGGTCCTAACCCACTCCCAGTTCCGTGCCTTACAAGACTTTGGCCTGTTGAGCAGGCCGTCCTCCCGCTTGCATGGTTTCCTTTGCTGTGCAGAAGCTTCTCCTCGCTTACCGCAACCATGCTGCTCTTGCTTTTAGTGGCCCCATTTCCACGTCAGAGCTGAAGGCACTGCCGAGGGTAATGTCCAGTGTGCCTCCTGTTTTTTCTTGCAGGAAGTTACTGGCCTCATGTTCAAGCCTTAATTTGTGCACTACCTTTTGTGTATGGTGTGAGACAAAGGGCCCAGCCTAGTTCCTCTGCATGTGGCTACCAGCTGTGCCCACACCCTTACTGCACATTCGTGGCTCCTTTGTGGTAAAGCAGCCAGCCACATACAAACGGGAGTGTTTACAGGTCCACTCGGTTCCACCTATCTATGTCATTTTCGTGCCAATACCATACTGTTTAGGTTATAACAGCTTTGTAATATAGCTTGAAATCAAGGATCACATGCCTACAACTTTTTTCTTCTTTCTCAAGATTGCTTTCGCTATCTGGATCTTCTGTTTCCATACACATTTTAGGATCCTTTGCCCATTGGCATGTTGACTGGCAGGGCACTGAATCTATAGCTCCGGATAGTATGGTCATTTTAACAATATCCATGCTTTCAATCCACGGACATGGAATATCTTTCCACTTACTTGTCTTCTATTTCTTTCACGAACAATGCCTTAAAATCTTCAGTGCACAAGCCTGCCCTTTCCTTGTTTAACTGTATTCCTGAATATTTTGTTCTTCTAAACGAAACCATAAGCGGCACTATTTTCTCACTTTCTCTTCCTGACAGCTAAAAGTGATCAGAAACACAACATACTTTTGTATGTTGATTTTATATCCTGCATCGGTTACCAAGTTAGGTAGGATGAGGGTGAATCTGACTAAAGAGCTAGTTTAGTAACTAAAATCTTACCTATTAAGCCCAAGCCTATTTATCATCAAATTTTCTTTCTTACATTACAAATAAATAAATAAGACAAATTAGAATAAGAAAGAATAAACTATCTTCCCCTCTACCTGGAGGTTTTCAGAGGTAAACTTTCTTTCACATCTGATTAAAAAGAGAGTCTAGCTTCCCAGTGTCATGGAAAACCACCGGCCGCCGGCACAGGCCTCCTGGCGGCTTCCCAATGCAGACCGCGTGACGCGCCAGTCGGCGCATGCCGAGGGAAAGCACGACACGGGACCAGAAAGTCTACCCGAGGAACAGACAGCGAAGCAAACAACTCACTGAAGAGAATTTCTTTAACATACTGCTGAAAAGTACAACTGAGGTAAAGACAATGTAAAACAGGCTATCAGAAGCAGCCTTTCGTAATGGAAGTACAAGTCATCATGCTGTCTTAGAGGCAGGCGTAGGAGGCGCCTGCAAGTTTTCTGATGTAGCAGTCATCTACTTAAGTGTTTACCGAGTTCCAGAACAGTCCCTGTGAGCGTGTGTACAGAGAAGTGCGGTGGAGGTCAGAGTGTGTGTTGGGGGGTGGGGGGCGCGCGCACCAGAGGCAGAACTGGGAGAGGAGCAAAGCAGACCACTGATGAAACCCGCTGCTGAGGCGCAGCAGGGAGACAGCAGAGGCCTGCCGCGCCCTGGGGTCCCTCCCTGGCCGGGGGTCGCACTCAGGTTTCCGGGGTGACAGTGCTGAGTCTTAACCTGCGGGCTACCAGGGAGGCCCTTAATTCTCTTTGCAGCCTAAGCAAACTACCATGAAGCCATTCTTAAATTTGGAAGCTATACTGGCTGCTTTTAGGGACGGTGCCATCTGCCACACCTTAGCAGATGTGGCATTCGGCCTGTTACGTTTAAAAACGGAAACATCACGCAATCTAGTTCCATCTGACGGCCACGGAGCTGAGTGACGTGGCTCAGCGTATCTGAGTTGTCACGCTGGTCTCACCAAACGTACTCTTACTTCACGAAACACACGGCCACATCTGAGCGCTTATTCAGTCTTTGTCATGGAACCTACGGGCGGCAGAGCCCTCGGCGGCTCCCTGGGAGCCGCTACCACCCAGCGGCCGCCAGCTTGATCGCGGCGGGCCGGGAAGGGTCGGGGCAGCCGGGGCCTGGCGCAGCGGCTGCTGGAGACCGGGGGCAGCTGGGGGCAGGACCCATGGGTGGGCGGGCGCGTAGGACAGGGCCACTGGCTCAGGTGGGTGCAGGGCCCTCCGGGTGCCCCGCTGTGCTGCCCGCCAATGGGTCAGCAGCGCAAAGCAGAAGGTCACTGCAAGCTTTCACCTCCTGTTTACTGCACTTTACAGTTTCGACTATCAGCAACATTTGAATGATTTTCACTTGCTCTCAGTAGCTAACATCTGAAAACACACTACTGTTAACTAGACAGCAAAAAAAAAAAGAACTGCTGGGTGCGGTTGGGCATGGCGGGAGCAGCCTCCTCCCTGGAAGCAGGCCGAAGCCGGCCCCTTCCCACCTCTGCGGAGAGGGCGTCTCCACAGCTGAGTCAACGCTCGGAGCCAGGCCCTGGGGCCGGCGAGTACCCCCAAGGCGCCCACCTGCCTGGCGCAGGTCAGGCACTGGAAACCCTTCGTCCTGTCGCGGCGTCGCAGTTAGACACACTTGCCACGTCACCCTGGGTGTGACCCACCCCAGCCTCGGCTTCCTTTTCCGCAGAACGAGACCCTCCAGGACCAGTCAGCGCTGCGGCGTGCAGTCAAAGCGCTCGGGTGCAGCCTCCGTGCCGGCTACCCCTGGCGCCCCGGGCTGGGCCCCGAAGCGCAACACCAGCTTCAGCAGCCGAGCACCAGCGCGCAGAAGCCGCCAGGCCGGGGAGCCGCAGGCCCGGCTGACGTGCGGGCTGCTCGCGTGCCCCTCACGCGAGGAGCGGGCTGGCCGGGCTCGGGCCCGGTCTGGGCTCCAGGGCAGGGCAGGCCAGAGCCGGCCTTCACGCGCCTCCGGGAGACACCTGCGTCAGGAGCTCCCAAAGAGACGGTCACCTGCCAGGCGCTTCTGGCCGGGGGCACGGGCCGACACCTCTGCGTCCTGGACACCAGAAGCGGCCAGTCTGGTCCTGACGGGCCACCGCCAGCGGGACGGCCAAGGGGAAGGACACACGGCCGCAGGGCAGGACCCCGGGCCGGACCCGACCGCCCGGCCCACCGCTGACTTAACTGCCACAGCTGCCCTCCCCAGTCCTGCCTCTGGCCCACACCGCGGCCGCGCCTGACCCCCGGGCCGCCGCCAGGGGCCGCCTCCCTGCTTCGTGCCGCAGCGCAGCTTCACCGAGGAGCAGCAAGTGCCCCAGCAGGCCGATGTCCGCCGCACCTGCGCACTGCGGCTTCCGACGGCAGCGCTCAAAGGCCCTCGCGGGCCTCCCGGGGGCGCGGCGGGGGAGGCCACAGCACCGCCCCTGCACCCCCAGCCTCGCCTTCCCAGCGTCTGCAGTCTGCACGCAGGTCCCAGCCGGCGGGCGCTGGGCTGAGCGGCCAGGGGCGCCGGGTGGGCCACTCACTCACACTGCCCTTGGCGCCGCAGCACGTTTCTGCAGCCCGCAGGACGCGCCTTCCAAGGTTCTGGGGAAAGCGGCAGGTAGGCAGCAGCGCCCTCCACGCGCGGTGCTATGCCACAGACAGGCGGGCGCCTGTCAATGGACAGGCTACGGCCCCTGACTCAGGTGCCCGCAGGCGAGTCTGAGGGTGAGTGAGGGGCCCTCAGCCTCGGGGGGCAGAGCGGCTGCCCCGAGCGCCGCGTGCCACCCGCGGGGTGCCGGCGCCTTTCGGCTGAGCTCGGCGACCCGGCCGTGTCTGCCAGGCCCCACGCAGCTGAGAGGGAAACAGCAGCTGGGGGGCGGCGGGGCGCGAGCCAGGGCCATCTCCGGCGGGCACCGCTCGCCTCAGTGTCGGAGACAAGGGGGTCAACAGCCCTGCCGGCCTGCGGTAGGCCAAGGGCTGGGAGGGCGCGCACACCCGGTCACACGGCCGCGTGACACCCGTCACACCCGGTCACACGGCCGCGTGACACCCGCTACACCTGACCACACCGCCGTGATCGGGAATCAGCGCACAGGCCTTGACTCGGCTTCCCCTCTGCCTGGCCACAGACACAGTCGACTCTGGCACGACAAGGGGACAGACCACTGTCACCACAGAGGTCGCTCACACCTGTCCTGAGATCAAGAAGGAAACCAAAAGAACAGCTGCCGGAGGCCGGAGACTCAGGCGGACTCTGCGTCCCCACGTCGCGAGACGGATGAAATGCAGAGCCCACTGCCACAGAGCCCGAGCCCGCAGCGGACCGAGCCACGCCCCGGCGACGCGCACAGCTGCGGGGACGAGCGGGCGCGCAGGGGACACGGCAGGCGCTGGCGGCTCCGCGTGGATTGTCAGGCTTCTTCCTGGCCACAGCGTGGGTCTCAGGCTGCCCCGACGATCGAGTCTCCAAGAAGGCAGACGTGGAGAGAGCCCCCGGAGAACGTGACGAGAGCAGCGGCCACAGGGGCTTCTCGCCCCTCGCTGAACCAGGCTTCCGCGCAGCCACCCTGGCTGGAGGCGCAGCCCCGCGGAGGGCCAGCAGCCGGGACGGCGGGACGCAGGCCGCGGACGCTCTGCGCCCTCCTCTGGTCAACCCGCCTGGAGGCCGTGAGGTGTGGCAGAGTGGGGGCGCTCGGGCAGAAGCGTGCACTTCCTGGAGCTGAGAAGGGGACGGGACCCATCGTGAGACAGCCGTGGCAGTCACAGGAGCAGAGGGTGTCCGCAGGTGCAGCCACTTGGGCGAGGGGTCGAGAACCGGCCTCCGCTCCGGGGCAGTGGAAACAAGCAGGGCGCCAGCAACCAACTCCGAGCCGGCAGGTTCCGCCCAGGCGCGGCTCCCGGAACTTCCTCGGCCTCTGCTCCCGTCTGCCCACCCCGTGGACTGCCGCCTTTGGGGCAGATGCCAGGGCACGTCCGCTTCGGACTGCAACGCCTCTGGCAGGGGCTGCGAGGTCCGGCAGCAGCTTCATCTGGTCGGACGCCACCTTCCAGCAGAAAGCGAGGCCCGGAGCCCAGACCTCCACTTGCCCGCGGGGTGCGTCTGGGCACAGCAGCAGTCAGGCCGACGCTGGTGGGCAGCCGCGGCTCCGATGCCCAGCAGCAGCACTCTGCCCTTTACTGTAAAGGGGCGATGGACCTGACGCGCACACAGGTCAGCCTTATGCCAGCCACGGGCAAGCCCGAGCGCGAGGATTCATTCCCGGCGGGAGACAGCGGGAGGAGCCTGGACGCCCACGTCAGGCGGCCCAGCAGGCTGCTTTTCTCCCCAGCTGCGGCGGGGCTC